CATTGGTTATTTTATTTTCATTTTTTCGTTTTTTATGAATAAGTCCGTTAAATTAGTTAACGGATTATTTGGAATTCTTTTAATATTAAGAATTACAAAAGTTGGCAGAAGCTGAGCCATTTCATTTTCCAAAATAAATTTTAATAAATCAATAACATCTAAAGTTTTATCAATTTTAGTGTTACCTCTGGATTTATTGAACAATTTCTCTTTTTTCTCTTTTTTAAGATTTTCAATTTCATTAATCAGAATTTTTTTTGCAGCTGATAATTCTTCATGTGAAAAAAAATCAGAAACTAAATTTTGAAAATTTACTTTATCAAAATTTTCACTATTTTCAAGAAAATACCAGAGAACTTCTGAAACGAGCAGTCTTTTAGTCGCCATTTTCGTATACATGATTGTGTGTGTGTGTATGTATACATACATACATACATACATACATACATACATCTGGATTGGATGTCCCTGGATCAAAGCTCTGTGATGAGATTTCGAACTTTAGAAATGAAATGACCAGATCATATAAATCTGATCCATAAAGTTATCCTTAATAATAATACATACATACATACATACATACATACATACATACATACATACATACATACATACATACATACATACATACATACATACATACATACATACATACATACATACATACATACATACATACATACATACATACATACATACATACATACATACATACATACATACATACATACATACATACATACATACATACATACATACATACATACATACATACATACATACATACATACATACATACATACATACATACATACATACATACAGACACACACACACATACACACACACACACACACACACACACACACACATACATACATACATACATACATACATACATACAAATGTGTTCAATTCCCATCCTCCAATTCAGCTATTGCACTCGGGTTGTGTATGATAAAAGCCCTAAAGTTTGTGCGCGTGTGTCTGTCTAGTCTACACATACACTGGTGTGTGTGTGTGTGTGTGTGTGTGTGTAAATATGTGTGTGCTGTGTATGCATGTGCATGTACATGTTTGTATGTTTCTATGAGTACGTACGTTCTTGTTGCCTCGATCATTTTTAAGAAATATTATTAGGTTGGATACCCATTCACGGTTTTTATAAAGCAGTGTTGTAAAACTGTTTTAATATTTCGAATGAAATAAAACTCTATTCAAGGATCTTGCTTCTTCGATCAATAACATTACCATGACATAAATAATCACCAGAATAAAATAATATTCAAATTGATTTTCAATGAATCTTGCTGTCGATTGATGCACTTTTGTTGCGTGAATGAAAGCATTGAACTTCTTGAGCGAGCAGCTTCATTGAGGTCGGCCACATGAGTAGCTGCAGCTGTGTGCCGCTAACAATCTACATGCGTATTTCATGGCCATTACACGGCGTAAACTTTTTTTGTGATATCTTATTTCAAACATTTCGAGTTTATAATTCGTATAAAAAAATTTGTCTTCCTGAGGATAAAAACTCGTTGTAATAAATTTTTACTTCTTTGTATTTGCTTGCAGCTTGATGTGAATGCTTGTGTAAGTGTTTGTGTGTGCGTGAGTGAGTGTGCGTGTGCGTGAGTGTGTGTGTGTGCGTGCGTGCGTGGATGTGGCTACTTTTTATTGTTTGCAGGCGTTATTTAGTTATTTATAGTACACCATGTTACTAAAATGAAATCAATATGATGCATGTAGGTAGATATATATCGAGCCACTCACTGAAGCAACAAATTTCAGGCCGCTCTCCTTCCTGTGTTTGATCTCAGAGCAGACTGAGCAGGTGTAGATGGATGCGTCATTGCGTGGAAACTGCAGCGATGGAAATATACTGCCACTCCCATGTGTCAAACAGAATGTGTCAAACAGAATATTTAAAGAAATGTGATGATGAAAACTTCGCGTTGACAACAACGATATAGATTTATTCTCAAGTAATTCTCAAACTTATATCAATTTAATGCGTATTTACTACGCACATGCATCATGCATACATCTCCTAATTTTTTCCGATTACTTATCATTTATTTAAGTAAAAGATAAAGATGATGACAATGTTAAAAATAGTGATGACGACCGTATTAACGATGATGATGATAATGAGGACGACGACAACGATGATGGTGGTTATATCAAGAAAAGAAATTTTTATAACGATTGGTCTATGAAAAACTTCAATAAAGATAACTTGAAGACGACGATTGTAAAGTTTTTGTAACGTTGTAATTTATTCGATTATGATTTGCCGACAAAGACGACGACGTAATAATGACGTCATTGCAGACGAAACTTAAGATAGGACGATGACGTTGTTGAGGATGAAAATGATATAGCACGCGGTGTCGATGATAATTGTAACTACGTCGATCGCATTATCAATGATAAAATATTTTAGTGTAATGATGACAACTGACATTAAGATAACAATAAGATGTGAATGATAAAAATTACGTAAATAATAATGCTGATGATGATGGGGATAGTAATGGTAATGATGTTATGACAATGACATGATGTTTATGATGACGAAATGTATGTTGTTGATAACAACAACAATGGTAAAGCGGATGTAGTTAGTTCGTTAAATTGATTACTTGACGATGACGCAATGATGAGGTAGCGATGATGAAGAAATGATGATACGATGAAGATGTGATAAAGAAGATGGGATGATGATGTGATGATAGAGATTCGCTTGCATAGTTTCTCAGTGCGACGTAATTAACATTCCTCCATCCCGCTCTGATGGCCCCACTTGTTGAAGACATTGTTAATGAAAATTAATTGCCAATTTTAATTGCATATTCTGACGACAATGCCAGCCAGAAATGCATTAAAATGTTTGAAATTGATATGATCGTGCTCGCAATTATTTTGAAAATTTTTGTTGCTATAGTTTAATTCAGTTTTAAATGGTCAACAATTTTTAATGGTTTGGTAATTTCCATTTTAAAGTTTAAATTTTTTTTGCAAAAAGTTTAGTCATATTAAAGTTAGAAAAAAATTAAAAAAACTTTAGAAAATGTTATTCAAACTATTTAAGTTAATATTTTTAGAGAAAAATAAATACATTTAACTAAAAAATGTAATAGTACATGCAGAATTATATTTGTTACACATGAATAATTGTCAGACAAATTTTTCTGTCAGGTTCGCTATTCAAAATATGTTGTAAACATTGTAATTACTTATTTTAAAATGTTGATGGTATGTTAAAAAACACGTAAATGGATGTTGGATGGGTGAGCTTTTGCTGCTTCATGTGCAGCCAATCCAGGCATGTCCTGGCATGAAGGTAGATTGGATAGGTTCCGTGTGTGTGTGTGTGTGTCACTCTTACTCACTCACTCACTCACTCACTCACTCACTCACTCACTCACTCACTCACTCACTCACTCACTCACTCACTCACTCACTCACTCACTCACTCACTCACTCACTCACTCACTCACTCACTCACTCACTCACTCACTCACTCACTCTCTCACTCACTCACTCATTTCATTTGTCTGCTTTCTTTTAAAGTTTGTTATTATTGCATATCGACATGTTTATATTGTATCTATTAAGCTTTAAATTCACGTGCGAATGTCTGAATGATATTTATAGAAGCAAGCGTTCTGTCAATTAATAAGGCGAATTATGTAAGATAACAACAGCAAAACAGCGTCGGTTGTATGAAGCGTTAAAGTGATACACGTAACCTCTACTAACATTGCCCATAATATGTATCAGCAATTAAAGTTTCATACCTGGGATTGAAACTGCAACGAGCATGTTTATTCATCAAGTGAAAATAATAAATATTTGTTGTAAGATAATAATGACTGTTATTAAAGTAATGGTAGGTTCCGTAGCAGCAATTGAAAATTCAAGCTTGGCGTGAAGAGCAGAAAGGTTTAACAAGTTTTGTTCTTCGGACAGATTATTGTTTATTATCAATTGTGTAATGTGTGAAATTTCAGCTAATGATTGATTTAGACGGTGAAATTGTAAAATTTTTTTCAAAAACCTTATTTCTAAAAACACCATCAAGTCATTATATGTAGTGATTATCATCATTAAAATAATCACATCGTCTGGTATTGGAAGTCTTTTTCGCAAGTCTCCTTCGTGTGGATTATGAGTGGAACGAATATTTTATAAAAAATCAATTTGAATAATTTATATCTTTGAGTTAAAGTTTAAAAAGATATACAAAGAATCTAAAACTTATTCAGAAAAAATCCTATTGTGATAAAATTTCATGATTTTAATCACATATAGTTATAAATATTAAGATTTGGTATAAAATTTTTTCGTTACATTCCTTCCAGATCCCTTTTTTCATAATTAAACATATGAAAAGTAATAATGAGATATTTAAAAGTAATAATGAGATATTTAAAAATAATAATGAGATATTTAAAAGTAATAATGAGATATTTGGAATAATTTTTTAAGAATTAGAATTGCAATTACAGAAAACAGAAAAGTAAATATTGCACTTTTCAAAGTAAAATCTGCCTTAAAACCACATTCCAAACATTATAACTATTTGAAACAATTTTAGAAAAATTATAAGTTGTAGAAAATTAAGGGTTAAATAATCTAGGCACGGAAAGTACCACAAAAATTCAGTAAATTGTTCGTTTCAAAATATTAAAATAGCTGTAGAAACGAGAAATTGAGGAGCAATTGTGAAAAAATGAACATGTTTCCTTATATTATTTACAAAATTAACAATTTCAAAAAAGCATAAAAGCTAACAAAAATAGCTCCATATCAATTACAACACACATCTAACAAAAACGCCACTTCTTTAAATTCGCCCTTTCATCAGAGAGTCAAAAAATAGTTTATACAGATTATAAGAAAAATCAGAAAGAAGTGAAATTGCTGAGCACATCTTCAAACTGAAAATAAACTTTGAAGATTAAATAAATTTGAAATATTCATTCTTGAAATTATTGGCGAAAATGAAAATATTCTGTCATTTGGTAATTGGACAACTGCACTGGTCTCACCAATTCAGTTTATTTTTGAAACGTGTTTGTAAATTTTATACTAACAGCCTTTTAAAATAATTTTTCTAATTTTACTAGATTTTATTTCAATGATTGTACTCATGTTGAACAATTCTTCATAAGAATAATTTTCTAAAACGTTTCGATACGTCAGATCGCAACATCAAAGATGAATGAGTATTTCAAAAACGCCCATTAAAATAAAGAGTTTTAACCATAGAACGATATAATATAATATCGATCGACTGTACAACATATGCACGTCTAAAAAGTTTGCTAAGCATTCATAAAAATAACTTTATGTGCATATAATTATTTGAAGTGATTGTTTATAAATAATCATAAATATTTATACCTGCGCACACGGAGTTACGAAATTGTTGCAGATACATATATACCATTCAAATAGACAGCTTAATGATATTAGTGCATTTGTCAATTTTAACATTATAAAATGATATATATATATTGCCATAAATAAATTTACACACACACATACTCACACATACACACACACACACTCACACACACATTCATATATATAAATATATATATATACAGTATTGTATGAATTCTACCGAATTGTTGGTATTAATCAATTTAAAGTTTGTCTTTTCAATTTTCCTTACTAGAGTTTTCTTGAAATTGTACAATTTGTTGAAAATAAACTTCAGATAAACATCTAACAAAGAATGATAACATCATTACTAACTTGACGGCTTAATACTAACTTCAATAACAATGAAAAACAAAGAAATGACAACAACAAAGATGAAGAATACACCACCAACTAATAACTTTGCTAAAGAACTTTGCTTTGTTCAAAGAAACTTTATAAATCAAACCAAAACCTGGACTGAAGAACATTTGAGAAAAATCGAAATAAGGCCTTACCTGCCACAAATTTGGATAACAACAGTTTCATTAAGTTTTCATGATGAATTAGGATAATAATTCTATTTTCAATGAGTTGAACTATTTCCAAAAAATTCTAGTAAGGAAAATTGAAAAGACAAACTTTAAATTGATTGATGCCAACAATTTGATACTATATAAAATATGGTCTCCTTCCAACGTATACACGTATCTATATATACTATATATATATATATATATATATATATATATATATATATATATATAGTCATACAATGATACAAAAACTTACGCACACGTGTATATAGAAATTGGAAGTTGTTCGACGCAATAATTTCAGGTGTTTTTGTGAGTCAGAGCGAAAGAAAGAGAGAGCGAGGGAGAAAGAGAAAATCTTGTTTTATATTTTCTGCTGGTCGGTTGGTACTTTTTATTATTTGGTAACTTATTAATGCATCAATAGACCTGAAATAATATTATATTTTGTTATAAACAATTGAGCTGAATACTTCATCATCCTTTTGCCTTCTGAACATTCAGATATTCAATCTACTGACCTACCTAACTTCAAACACAGGTTTAGTGATTTTTTTCAATCAACCACAAACAAATTTTGAACTAGTTACGCAAACAATTTAAGTTATCACATATACAGATTTTTATTAATTATTTTTATACAGCCACTTTCAAACACTTGTTTGTATACATTCGACATTTAAATGATCAAACAAAATATTTGCATATAGAGATTATATTTCATCGGACGTTAAACATCCATAGGTAGCAGGTGCAAATGTTTAACTAAGGCAAATAAATGTTTTTGTGGATATAGTAAATTTTTATTTAGAAAGAAATATGTTTTTAAAAATTTTAAATGACTGAAAACAACAAGTTTTATTGTTAGCTACTTCGCGATAATATTAAATTAATAATTAACAGCACACATTATTAAAGTAACATACAAATAACAATAACAATAATGATAATATTAACATTTTCTTTCAGTATTATTATTACTATTAGTAGTATTAGTATTAGTAGTAGTAGTAATAATAATAATAATAATAATAATAATAATAATTTTTGCCACTATCATCATCTTTTCTAGGCAACGATGTGGCGCCTTAATTGTTCAAACGTAGTTTTATCGTCCATTGGAAAGACATTCCAAAGTTTTTCCATCATCATCATCATCACCTCTCTCATTATCATCATCGATACTGCTACTACTGGTTAGTAATGTTTTTTATTGTATTTGTTTACCGCGCATTTATTTGTGGTTCATCAGAAATTAACATTTCTCTGTCGATGTGTGTGTGAGTTTGTTTGTATATGTGTGTGTGTTTGTACGAGTGCGCGCGTGTGTGTGTGTTTGTATGTGTGTCTGTTCAGACGCTTTGAGTTATTGTATGTGTGTATTTATTTGTTTGCTTGTTAGCTGTTAAACTGTTTGTCCTGTTTTAGTGTTTGTTATCTTTTTGGCTGGCTATGTTTTATATTACATTGGGCTAGTGAAGATCATATTGTAAATTAAAATTAAAAAATTCTAGTTGATAGTTAAATAGTCAAAATATTTTATTAATTGTTAAAAATTGTATTTTTACAACTTATATGCCGTTGGTGTACTGTTAGTTGAAGCTTGTTGTGGATTTGTGGCAATAATGTTGCAACTATCGCGTTGTTGTTATTATTTATATCATGTCAATGTAAAACAATCAAATCATAGTTTAAAGTACTTAAACTGTCGATATATTAACGATTCCCATGTGAATGACATCCAAATCAGATGCATTGAGTTATTTTTGTTCTATTCATTTAAATAAATTTAATATCTTCTAAAAATAGATCGATCAAATAAATTTGATTAATATAAAATCTACATTATTTATCTTATTTAAAATATTTATTTATTTAAAATAAATTTGTTGTGTTATGTAACTAAGAAGCTAACCATAGTTGCATTGTTCATGGGATTATCAGGTGTTAGCTACGTACTGAGCTTATGTTACTAATCATTCATTTCATTCTTAGAAGTTCCATTGTTAGGTTTCCGTTATTATTCCTCATATCTACATTAATTACTTAGGACGATGTTAATGTTCTGAATAAAAATATTGACAACCATTGTAAAAATGAGTGGCTATTATCATCATTAATGTAGATAATAATAATCGTATTGTTAATTTAGTCATGCTTCTCAGGGTTACCAACATGTGATTGCGCGTACCTCTTCCACACATCTTACTCATTGCACGTGATAATGGTACTGTCTTTGCATTCAAACCCTGTTCCTGCGACAATGGAAGCTGGCGTCTTTACTATTACGCCATCCAGTCACCCTTTTAGTTAGTTCTGAAACATAACCCAACAGCATTACGGTTTACATAAAAACAAGAAATGCATCGAATAGTGAATTAATTGTCGAAATCGATAGATTGACGCGATATTTTCTCCGCTGTCCACTTAAATATGATTCAATGTTTGTAGATGGTTATGATCATTACGAAGACTTCACTTATTTCAGACTTCACTTATTTGAAATTCTGAAGTTACGAGACAAGCAATTTACATAATATCCTAATCTCACAGCATGTACATTACGTCTGTGTTGCAGCCCTAGTCTGTTTTGAGACATTTAACATATACATATTATATGTATTATAAATATTTGAAGTTTTTCACTGTTTTCTGTGCAACATCTGTTCTCATTTAATGATGGAAAACACATCATGAACAGTTAAAGATTGTAGTCGTTCCGTCCTTTTTTTCGATATAATTATTTAATTTCTTTACATTAAAAACATGTGTGGCATATATATACAAATATTAATTTAATAAAAATTAAAAGTTTTTATGCTTTTCGCGACTTTGAATTAATTTCGTTAACAAAGAGTCTTAGTTTTAGTAGATTGTGAACTTTAGAAAACTATTTATCGCGTTTATTACTGCTAAAAATAAATATTTGAACTTCATCTTGAAAATAATTGGAACCCTATGTTAAAGTACAAGATGTTGTGGATGTGGAATGTCTGATGAAAGTTCAGACACTCATTTGCAATCATCATCACTATTCATTAAATCGTTCCTGCGGTTACCAACCACGTATCACATACACGCGCACAACTTCAACATAGAAACATTACACCACACACACAAACGCACACACACAGATGCACACACACACACACAGACACACACACACAAATATATATATATATATATATATATATATATATATACAAGCAAGCATGCGTAGAAATATTCGCACAAATGATAAATGATGACTTAATATAGACTGACAAGACCAAGATGCAACTATAAATAGCGCACGTTGAAACAATACGCAACACATACATACAAACACACACACACACACACATACACACACACACGCACATACATACACACGTACGCACACATTGTTCTTACAACAACCCAGCAGATGCAGTGGCCACAAATGCCACATGTGTCATGAGTGCCGGCAGTGGTGTGGGCAATGTGAGTGGCACCATCAACTTCACACAGAATGTTAGTAACTGTTGGTGGCAATGATGTTTGGCGATGTGACGTTGTGATGTTGTAAGACGTTGACGACAATATGTGATAATAATGATGTTTGTGTGATGATGATGATGTTTCTGTGATGATGATGGTTTGTCATGATTACGATGATGTTTGTGTGATGATGATGATGGTTTGTCATGATTACGATGATGTTTGTGTGATGATGATGATGTTTTGTGATGATGATGATGATGGTTTGTTATGATTACGATGATGTTTGTGTGATGATGATGGTTTGTGATGATTATGATAATATTTTGTGATGATGATGTTTTGTGATGGTGATGATGTTGATCAAAACGAAACTCAGTTCATTTCTTTCACTCTCAATCTGCACTAACTTCCATTTTTTTTCGCATTATTTAAAAAATTGTAGTTTTTTAAAATCCAATCGACAATCTCGTACCTAGGTGTATAACCATTATTTCCACAAAAAACATTCCTCCGAACATTCCTTTCGTTAAGTCCCACCTGACGGATCGCGGCTGCTCCCTCTCCATATGTTTGAGAAAAATACATCTCACAAGGTGGCCTACATCTTAGTATCAGTAAAAAAGTTAAAAGTACATCCTAAAGGGTACGTATTTACGCTCCTGCAGCTGTTGAGTCTACAACTTAAAAGATTTTAATAATAATGAGAACACCTTTTTATTTTCATCGTAAAAACGTACATGAAATGAAAAAAAAATAATTGTCAATGATAATCAAAATTAAAATATATATGTATATAGTAAAATGTCTTGAAATAATATCCAAAGCTCGTCATCTTATAAAAAGGATGTGTACAACGAGAGAAGGTTAGTCCTAAATGGTTCATTCAATTTGCATTTCTATCACAGTAAATACTATATGACGACGAAATTGTCGCATAAATAAGGTTGTTGATAAAATCATCAGTCCATATTAAATTAATAAGAGACAAATCAAAAGTATTAAAAAAAACCTAAAGGGGATATTTCAAATGTTTTAATTGTAACGTTAGAGTGTTTATAACTATTGGTCAAATTATTTTGCAAATTATGGGAGTACTTTGCCATTCTATAGTCCTTTGATTTCGGAAAGTTTGTTTCATGGCAAACCGTGAGCTCCAGGATTTCAATGTTGCTATCGCAAAGGAGTGCGATGTCGGGACGAAGCGTCTTGAAGAGGCAGGATAGTGGCTGATACTTATCTTGATCCGTGTCTGCATATATGGAGAAATCAGGGCCTGCGCTTGATTAATAATATCAATTGATTCCAACCAGCGTGAACTGAGATTAATTCATCGGTCAATTTTTACAAACACCAACGAATGTTTCATGGAAATTTTTTTAATCCTACCACATTAATGGAACTCTAGAAACTAATCATCGCCATCATTTTGTTCAACTCGACAACTTTCACTTTCATCATTTTTACTTCTTTTATTACAGCGTGATATTATTATTGATAATAATAATAATAATAATAATAATGTGAGCTCTCTTTTATTTCTAGAAAAATATGAAATATAGTAAAATGAGATAAAAGTCTAATTAAAATCTAATAAAATAAAATAGATAAATTGATTTAAATTAAATTAAATACAATAGTATTCTATGATGCTCATCATTTGAAATAAACGAGTACAACGAGATATGATTAGTTTTAAACGAACAGTTCAATTGTTATTGCGTTCACAGTAGATGGCACAAGATGACGGTATTACAGAGTTAATAAGGTTATTATAAAATGATCTGACCAAATGTTATTGATTAATGATAAATTTAAAAAATTGCAAAAGCCCAATGTTGAAATTTCAAAAGTATCAACTATTATTTTCAGGTGTATTGAATTGTCATGCAAATTATTTTTGAGATTTTCTGAGTATTTGATGGTTTTATATTTTTTTGAGTTGAGTAGGTTAGATTCATGGCAGACCGTCAGCTCTAATATTTCTATTGTGTCGTCACGAAGTATTGCGATGTCAGGACGTAGGGATTTGAAGAGACAAGACACTGGAGGGATCCCATCATAGTCCACATCTGCATATATCGAAACCCCTGGACCCGCGCATGCTTTCAACCTTTTTATAATTATGTTTAAAATTTTGTTGTGACGCATTGTGAATCTTTTTAGTGCTGCCACCGAATTGCAATTAGACAGAACATGTTTGTTTGTTTGCCGCGCTTTGCACAATGGACAGTCAGCCGTTGATAATTTGCGCCATCTGAACAAATTTGCATTTGTGGGGAGTTGTTTGATGAGACTTCTCCTAACAAATTTGAACAGTACTTCTGGGAGATTTGCAGTGAATTTCGACCAGTGAGCAATTCTAGCTGTGGGAATCTGGTCTTTGATCACTTTTAAAATTGTCCCTTGGCAACGGAGTAGCGATAGATGTTCGAGTTCTGCATTTTGTTGTTTGATCGTTAACATGCTGAGTGCCGGTTTTATGTCCTTTGAGTCAGGAAGCAAATTGTCGATTTTTATATAATTGCTATAGGACTCGCTCCATAAACATTTAAGTTCTTTGCTGCCATTTGATTTCAGGTAGCTACGGAGTTTTAATCTCAAAGATTCGGCAAAATTTTTGAGAGATCTAACATTTAGGCCGCCTAGTTTATATGGGAGCGACAATGTCTCCGACAGACAGCTACTAATGGGCAATGACAGCCATGATCTTACTGTTTCGGTGATTAGGGTGTCCAGATGCATACTAATCCAAGTCAGTGAAATGTTGTACATGCGAAATTCAAACGCAAATTGAGATGGAAGATATTTTCTAAGAATTTCAAGCTTCCACTGAACTGTTGTATCCAGTTCACTGACGGTTGATAGTAATGTTTTGAGTTTGATGATCATCTGGTTTTTGGCGTTTGTGTTGTTGCCTTCGAAATCATATTTTTTCCCCAGATATTCGAAATAACCTCCGATGTCAACATGGGGGATTTGTTTGATGTCGATCGATTGCGCCGGAAGGAATTGTTCGTAAACTCCGCTACGTTTTCGCATACCGAACGAGAAACACTTGTCAGTTCTCAAACTCATTCCAGTTGCTTTGCACCAAGCGTGATTTACATCTATGAGTTTTTGAGCACTTTCGGTGCTGTTGGCGATAATGGCCGTGTCGTCTGCGAACTGAAGCCACGCTCTTGTCTTTAAGCTGACTGACGGACCCCATATGTACCCGCATTGTTGGTACTCTGTTTGTTCTATGACTTTCATCAGGGGGTTGAAGCAGAGGTTGAAAAACAGTGGAGACACGGGATCACCTTGCAATACACCACGCTTGATTGGAATGGGCGGGGTTAGTTGGTCGAATCCGGAAACTGTGATTGAGTAGTCGGTATATATATGTTCAATTAGTTTGATAATTTGAGAGGGGATGTGATGAAAATCCAGAGTTGATGATATGAGTTTATGGCTGACTTCACCGAATGCGTTGCAAAGATCGAGAAGTGCGACAATAGTGGTTCTTTGATGTTTCTTCGCATCGTAGAGTAGGTGTAGAATAATAATAATAATATCATCATTAATATGGTTATATTTATTATTTTCAGTTTGATTGATAAGTATCACGCTGTAATAAAAGAAGTAAAAATGATGAAAGTGAAAGTTGTCGAGTTGAACAAAATGATGGCGATGATTAGTTTCTAGAGTTCCATTAATGTGGTAGGATTAAAAAAATTTCCATGAAACATTCGTTGGTGTTTGTAAAAATTGACCGATGAATTAATCTCAGTTCACGCTGGTTTGAATCAATTGATTGTGATTTCTATGCGCAGACAATTGCAAAAAGTGCATTTCAATTAGTAATTGATTGGAAAATAATTATTCTTCGTTAACACTGCATTAGAATGCTACGATGCGATGGCGACATAAGTCTGCATCTGCCTGCGACCAACCACGCAACGACACATCCAACCACACAATGACACATCCATACAACCAACATTTTAACTACCGACAAAATCATAAAAGTGACCAGCAAAAATTCCACACACAAACACACCACACACACACGCGCACACACACACCACACACACACACACCACATACACACAACATACAAACTACAACAAACACACACATGCACAACATACAAACTACTACAACCAGTGGTGTGTCGGAGTCGGATAAAAAATCTGACTCCGGGTCGAAATTCCCACTTCCTGGCTCCAAATCCCGACTCCGGGTTTCGAATTTCAGAAAAAAATTTTAAATTTTGCATCATAATCTCACCTTATTATCACTACTAAATAAATAAATACATTGAGAAACACTTAAAATCGGTCAATGTAATTGTTTTTTTAGTAAAATTATTTCATTTTCATGTTTTATAACACACTGAAAAAAGAATTATGTGATTTCATTCACATTGTTAGCATTATTTTTTGTCTTAAAAATGATTGCTTATCGCTACATACATACATTTATCCTCTAAAAGGGCATTTTCAAAAAAGAAATAAAAACTTTTATTTTAGAATAAATAACCTTTTCCCAAATAAAAAATCCAACTCCGACTGAGATGATTGCTATTGAATAACAATTATTCAAAATTACGTCCGTGCATTTATGCTTGGATGATAATGATGAATTACGTAACCGAGTATTACACAGGAATGTTTAAACTTGCCCTTCACACATACAAACTTTCATGCGCCAAGACTATGAAGAAATGAAAGCATAAAGACTCAAATATACACGCACATACACATATACACACCCAAACATACATATTCACATGCACGCACACACATGCACGCACACACACACACACACACACACGCACATACTGACCAAAACAACATACGTAACAGGATGCTCAGGTGGTGACCATATCAATCGCATTGACTGGATTCCCCATCTCCAACGTGACCACCAAGCATGGATTCCATGTCCACCAATCAGGTCTGTCTGTTTGGGGAGGGGGCAACTTGCATGTGTTCATTCATTTACTTGCTTATTTGTCTGCTCTATAGCATTTTCATTCATTTGTTTATTCATCATGCCGCAAGTCCATTTTGTTTTTAAGGTTTCACTTGCCAAACGACATTGAGTGCCGTCCGTTGTTTGTTGTGTACATGCACGATGGCCGCCGTTTCTTTCTTTGATATTTTTTCATTAATTTTTTGTTGGTTTGTTAAAATAAATCAATTGAACCGAACACATTTCACCACCAAAGCGCCAGCAAATGCGCCAATAAATTAAACATTGACGCAAGCATTTCTCAGCATTGAAACTCAAGTAATTAATGGACCACATTAAACGTTATTAGCCAACATGAACAGTTTAACTTCACCACGATCGAGTTAAATATTGTCAGTTTTCAATCGGCAACTGTGCATGGCAAGTGCATACAGAAAATAATGTGTTTCACATTCCAAACAACAAATAAAACGTACCAACGGCAACAGATACACAAACAACACCAAGACATACAAACAACAACAAAAAACACAAGCAACCAAAAAAAATTAAAAAAGACGACAACAAAACATACAAAAAACAACAACAAATCATACAAACAACAACCAAAACATACAAAAAACAAAAAAAACATAAAAACAACAACTAGGCAACCTGTCGGGCTCATGTAATGCATGCGGTCCCCACTAC